CTGCACTTACCCAAGACAGAGCCACACAGAGACAGAGGCACCTCATTGTTGACTCCAACTTGGAGTCTGTCTGCCAGTCTGTCACCTGTTTATGTTTATGTTGCGGCAACAAAACCGAAAAAAAAAACAAAATATGAAATCAATAAAAATGATTCAATGGATGGCACATCTTTCATCAGCCAAACCCGAACCCGAAAACAAGCCAATAAACAAGTGAAAACTGCAACCTGGTGGAAACCTTTCCACAGCTGCATTTTTTCCATTCCATTCATAGATAGAATCGTATTGGATATTTTGTATATCTTTCAGCCATATATCATTTATCTTGGCACCTGCCAACCGCTCTGAACGAGCTCTACAGCCGTGTGACATCGCATTAAATTAACATCACAATCAATGGGGTTTCATGAATAGAGTTGGCTCCCCCCCACCACCACCACAATAATAGCCAAAAGAAAAGATCTGAAGACGCTTTCACGCCACAGACACACTTTTTATATAAGAGGCCCCCCCCAAATTGCGCAATGCTGCCACTGACATAGAGCCACACACACACACACACCAACAATCAAGCAAACAAACACAGCAAAGGTCAAGGCAATCATCCAATTTCCGTTGCATATCCTGTCTGTCCCTGTGTCAGGAAAAGTGTCACTAAAATGTAAATCTCTTTCTATATTTCAGAATGGGTATCCATCGCGCCGTCGCAGCCTGGTGGATGATGCCCGCTTCGAGACTCTGGTGGTCAAGCAGACCAAACAGACCGTCCTGGAGGAGGCGCGCAACAAGGCAAATGGTAAGCACTCGAAAATCATTAGCAACAAGTGGGGAAAACAGTCGTCAACAAGTGGGGGCAAAACACTCTTAAAGTGGCTTAAATTTCAGTTTAAATTCACTTTTTGCCTGAGTTTATTATTTATTTTTGTATTTCCATACATTTTATTTATTATTATTTTCCCTTTTGTTTTAATATTATTTTTAAAGACGCTTCTCTGGAGGAATGCATTCAGCAGGCCCAGGAGCATATCCCAGCCGAGCAGAGTGTGGAGCTGCAGGACGAGCAGACCCATCTCGAGAACCTCGAGTTGCCCATGGAGAACGACTACGTTCCAGGTGCTTATTCTTTTCATTTAATTCCATCCAATCACTTTTCTGCCTTATCCCTTTATGATTTTGATTTTAATTTTGTGATTTTCGTTTTGATTTCGTTTTTAGTTGAAGATTTTGAGATTGAGAGCGCTGAGACGGAGCAGTCGCAGGAGCCAGCGGGCCAGACGCCCAAGAACGGTAAGCCCCCATCCCATACTGCATGCCCCGCCCCCGCCTCTCCCCTAAGTAGTACTTAACTTCTGAGGAGCTTTTGAAAAGTGTGCGACATTGATTTAAGTGCTTAATATGATAAAGTACTAGAGAAAAGCGACAGAGAGAGAGAAAGAGAAAGAAATGGAAAGAAAACGAAAGAGCAAAGCACTCAGCGCTCAACCGAACAATTGCGGGGGCCGTTGAGACAGCAAGGAGTGGAAATGTCGCATTTCCCTTTTTCATTTGTTACGCTCGACTTGATGGAAATATGAAATGCGTGCGCCTGGCAACCCTGCCACCCCCACACACACACACACACACACTAGTCGCCCGGCCACACGTAGCCCGATTATCGTTTACGTGACCTTAAGCCGCTTGCCTCATGATTGCATATTTTCTCTCTTCCAGATTATGGTCTTACCGAGGAAGAGATTTTATTGGCCAATTCCGCCTCCGAGTCCCCCGAGGCTGAGGCAGCCATGCAGAGCGCCGCATTGGTGGTGCGTCTTAAGGAGGGCATCTCCTCGCTGGGCCGCATCCTGAAGGCCATCGAGACCTTCCACGGCACCGTCCAACATGTGGAGTCGCGTCAGTCTCGCGTCGAGGGCGTCGATCATGATGTGCTCATCAAGCTGGACATGACTCGCGGCAATCTGCTGCAGTTGATCCGCTCGCTGCGGCAGGCGGGCTCCTTCAGCAGCATGAATCTGCTGGCCGAGAACAACATGAGCGTGAAGGCGCCTTGGTTCCCCAAGCACGCCTCCGAGCTGGATGACTGCAACCATCTGATGACCAAGTACGAGCCCGATCTCGACATGAACCATCCCGGATTCGCCGACAAGGTCTACCGCCAGCGCCGCAAGGAGATTGCCGAGATTGCCTTCGCCTACAAGTACGGAGATCCGATCCCATACATCGACTACAGCGATGTGGAGGTCAAGACCTGGCGCTCGGTCTTCAAGACCGTCCAGGATCTGGCCCCCAAGCACGCCTGTGCCGAGTATCGTGCCGCCTTCCAGATGCTCCAGGACGAGCAGATCTTCGTCGACCATCGTCTGCCCCAGCTCCAGGAGATGTCTGATTTCCTCCGCAAGAACACTGGCTTCTCTCTGCGTCCGGCCGCCGGTCTTCTGACCGCCCGCGACTTCCTCGCCTCCCTGGCCTTCCGCATCTTCCAGAGCACCCAGTATGTGCGCCACGTCAACTCGCCCTTCCACACCCCCGAGCCGTAAGTGTCACCGTCACCCTCTAACATCAAAGGGGGACAAAATAGCTCTTTGTTCGCCCCTAATTGCATTTTGTTGGCAGTGAAAGGGCGGTGGGTTTCCTGCTTCCTGCTGCCCTGCTTCCTGCTGGCGGCAACCAACTTTCTCTTGTTTGAGAGAAGAGTAAATTGGCTTCAGCGGGAAGCAGGAGCAGCAGCACGATACCCATCTTCTCATTTAGCCTGGCTAATTGCTTTATGTGCGCATATATTTTCCACACATTTTCTAACCATTATTTCTTGCCCCTTTTCCACTTTGCAGCGACTCCATCCACGAGCTGTTGGGACACATGCCGCTGCTGGCCGATCCCAGCTTTGCCCAGTTCTCGCAGGAGATTGGTCTGGCCTCCCTGGGTGCCTCCGATGAAGAAATCGAGAAGCTGTCCACGGTGAGTTTCCACTTAATTGAATTGCCAGCCCCAAACCCAATGGCCGGCTAATGGCGTCCGATGGTTGTTGGCCTTTATGGCAGCGCCTACAGTGACATTGCCACTTTTTCGTGCCTGCCCCCAAGATCATTGTTTAGTCATTAACTAACTTGTGTGTGTGTTCTCTCTCGCTCTCGCTCTCTGATTGCAGGTCTACTGGTTCACTGTTGAGTTCGGTCTCTGCAAGGAACACGGTCAGATCAAGGCCTACGGTGCTGGTCTGTTGAGCTCCTATGGCGAGCTGTTGCACGCCATCAGCGACAAGTGCGAGCATCGCGCCTTCGAGCCAGCCTCCACGGCTGTGCAGCCCTACCAGGACCAGGAGTATCAGCCCATCTACTATGTGGCCGAGAGCTTCGAGGATGCCAAGGACAAGTTCCGTCGCTGGGTCAGCACCATGTCCCGCCCCTTCGAGGTGCGCTTCAACCCACACACCGAGCGCGTCGAGGTACTGGACTCTGTGGACAAGCTGGAGACCCTCGTTCACCAGATGAACACGGAGATTTTGCACCTGACCAATGCCATCCACAAGCTGAAGCGTCCCTTCTAGAGTGGAGGTATCTCTGTCCAAATCTGCACCCACCCCCGCACAGTCCCCACCCCACTCACATACAGGTGCAACGGTCTCATCTTATACAAATTAATTTTAAATTGACATACCGCACACAATCCCTCTCCCTCGTAAGCCTGAAACCTGAAACCACACGACCATTCAGGGCATCGCATATTATTTTTTTTATGTTTTTGTTTGATTTATTTTATTTTATTGTCATTTGAAGTTCTGTTTGTCTCTACCAAGAAAAGCATATTTATTATTTGATCATCCAAATACCCTGTAGAACACCCCCGCCCCACACACAGCCAACCCCCCCACCCACAACCCCCCTGTATCACCACAACTATTATTGGACCAAAAAATCGTTAGACTTTTAAGTGATGTGAAAACAAAGCCAAGCAAAGCGAATTTCAGTGAAGTGAAAGCAAAGTTCAGATCTATCACACGGAAAACCGCTTATATACTCAGACACACACACACATGTGCACACACAATTTGTTTTTTTGTATTATATTATACCTTTTATCACACAACCTCTCTCTCTCTAAATATTTACCTAGACTATATATATACACACGATATAGTATTCGCGGTATTTGAACATTTGAACAGAGAGAATATCTTAAAGAGAAAACTTAACAATAGAACAGAATGGAAACAGAAACAGAAACACAAGAAAACAGGAAAATGTGTAGAAGAACAAAAGAAAACGGAAAAAAACAGAGAATAGAATTTCTTACATTATACAATAACTGTAAACGACAACTATTGTGTACTATTATTATTATTATTATTATCTATTATTATGCTTATGACTATTACGTATTGTATTGTAGGTATGTAGAGTTTAAATTCTATTATTTTATTTAAGTTTTGTGTATTAATAAAATAAAAAATGCAATTGAAAAATAATCACTCTTTGGTTTTTATCTTTTTTTTTGGAACGATTTTGTATTTAAATATTTTGGTTGTCTAGACTTTGATCCTTTGGTTTCTAGATTGAATTCTTTGGTTTTCCGAAAATATCAAACTCTAAAGTCTGATTCTGTTTAGGGAACATTTTATGACATGAAAAGGGAATATTTATTTGAAATTTGAAAAGATTGACTTACAACAAGAAGATTATACATTTTTAGATCATTTACGAAAAGAAAAGGAATGGGAACAAATGAATTTTAAGAAATTAGAAGAAATATAGCAAGAAGTAGTAACTGGAAGAAGTTGGAATAATATTGAAAGAAAGGAAGAAACAAAGGGAAACAAACAAATATTTTCTAAAAGAAAGGAAACTGTAATGGATACGGAGATTACTCCATTAAATAAATGAAAATTAGATTCAAGTAATATCTTCAAACTATCGATCTATATACAAACTTAATCAAATATTGAACAAAAATGTACTTAAAAAATCAAATTAATAATCAAAAACCCTTGGACCAATATATATATAGAAATCAAAAGCTATTTTAATCAAAACTTTTTCAGTAGATTCAGCATTGGAATTAAATATACATATAATACATACATACGAGTATATATGAAATTGAAATTAATGTAGCGTGGCATTTTATTGTTATTGTTCATTGTAGTTGCAATTTGATCGAAAGCCAAACAAGTGTTAACATTTCTGCAAGCAATTAACCAAACTATAACTATTCATATTCGCATATATCAGAATATATATCCACAATCGTTGTGGCAATGCAGTTGGTCCCCGCCAAACAGGCGTAGCTGGTGGAGCTCTATAAGAAAGAAAACGACAATTACAATTGGAGAATACAAAAGATTATTAATAAATATTGTTGAACGTGCAGATCGAATTAATGTTGCCATATATCTATATACAACTATGTAATCGCTATTCTATACAATTAAATTCTGCATTAATAAAGTTGAAAGCGTTTAAACTTGACTCTTGGCAAATAGTTTGACACGTGGAATGTACATAAATGGGTTCTTAAACACACAAGAGTAGCCCCGGGCTATGGTATTTTTTTTTTTTTTTAATAGAGCGACAGAGAGTGAAAGATCCTGTGGCCATGATTAGCTATTAATCGGAATGGGGCCTTTGATCGAATTGTTTTATTCTATTCTTAACTTCCCAACATATGCCAATTTATTTTAATTAGCCAGCTCTAGTGCTTAGTTAGTGCTTAATAACACATGAGCAATCTGTAATTAGTGGCATAGAACTTTACTTGTTTTTTCGGATTTAAAGATTTAGATATTTAAATGGTTTATATTTTTTTGAGTAGATTATTAAAAGCGACAGCTGTTTGACAACATGACCTACCTCAGCCTATTTTAATTTAGAAAGAACACGATAAATAAATATCGTAACACCTGAGCGGATTTATCATATGCCAATTACAATACGAGTGCGAGTACAACTTTGTGATATAATAATTGGCTGTGTGAATCGAATATGAATGTGCTAATACGAGTAGAACAGCAGCCAGAGACAGTGACAGAGACAGAGCCACGGACTTGGCAACAATTAGCGGCAGCTGATCGGATGTAGGCGATATCGAATGGACTCGTGGGAACGCCCACGTTGCGGCTCAATTAAAATGAAATTAATATGAAATCAGAACGATAAGGGTTGATGAATCGAAACTTGTATGCCCTCCTGCAGCTGCGCGGCTCACTAAAATTATTTAAACTGATGCACTTACATATGTATATGTGTAAATTATATTTGTAAGTATACTAAATCTTGCTGTCGTTTGATGAACTGAAACTCGTGCAACTTAGTGGGAAGTATTTTTTTGTGACGATTTTTACTGATTTCTTAGGGAAATATTTCGGCTTCCTTTTGAAAGGGATTTCTTGGGATTTCAAGGGATTTCAAGTTTGTAGTTCTTTTGCGGCTTGCTCTATAGTTCTTAAGGGATAATATGGGAGAGAAGACAGTCAGTCCCGAATCTCTACCTCTGTCATTCACAAGCTTCATGAATCAATGGCTATACCCTGCCTGGCATTTGCTATACTATAGTTAGTGCTGATATGTTCACATAGAGATATCTCCATTATGCCATTTATTTCGTATGAAAATGAAACAAATGAGCTGCCAGGCCAGCGAAGCTCAGCTTGGATCTAAGGTTAGTTAGGAGGCATTTATCAACTTTTGTTGGCTTTTGTCGGGCTGATTGTCTGACTGATTTGGGTCAGACTAAAAAGGCTGGCCTAACCACCCAGGGCTACTTTGTACTCTATTTGATGGGTGTAAACATTTGCACTTGATTTCAATTCCATTGCAAAGCGACTTGCCGGCGAGTCGCTGGAGTGGATTACGTGCCGTTTGGTAGGTCCGGCTGGGCACTCGAATATGCTCGTGCAGTAAAGTTCTTTGGTCGTTTTGGTCTTCTGTCAAGGTCACTGAGCAAATGGGTTAGGGTTGCAGGAAACGCTCTGGGACAGAGCCAGAGTCGGGCACAGGTTTGTTGAACCGACGACGCTGCTGCTGGCTAATTGCCGGAAGCCCAATGCACTTTGCAATTAAACACTTTTCATTAATTGTTGAAGTTTTTTTTTACGCCTGGTAAGAAGAAAATAAAGACAAGAATCAAGCTGCCAGCAGTGGTACGGTACGGAGCGAAACACGTTTCATTTACAGCCGCCGCCGCAGCATTTCAGATTTGGCTAATTAAAGCCGCATAAAACCGAAAAACGAAAACCAACAAAAACCGAAAGAATACAGCAGCAACAAGAACAACAACAAAAAACCCAAAATAAAAGCCAAGGTTAGCTGCGCGCGTTGGCTTTGACAGTAGCCAAAGGAATTAACTAGAACATGTCTATGGCGCCAGATTTGTGTGTGGTATTTGTGTGGCTTTGGCTTAATCGAAAATCAAAGTCAATGACTTACAGCGTGCATGGCCAAATTCTGCTTATGGTTTTGGTTTTTGGCATTCTGGCCTGGTCCGCCATTTATTTCGAGCCAATTAGTTGCAATACAAACTTGAGTCTTGAACTTTTCAAAAGACACTAACATACTAAACTGCCACGAAACGCCACGCCACTCGATGCTGCTGCTGGAACTGCCACAGAGATACAGCTACTGGTTGGTAATCGGGTAATCGTAATCTGAATGCCACTGGGAAACTGGAGGTGTGAATATCTTGCAGCCAAACCGTTAGCCAGCCCACTGCACACTACGTGTGGCACTGGTCCGAGGCGCACCTGTTGGCCAATTCTAATTTAAATGATCGCGCATTAATAACTGCAATAGCTCTCGGTCTAATTAGAGTATGAACAGGTTTCCCTCCCATATCAGATAGGGCTAGATGTAGGAGTAGGGGTGTGTGTGTTTGTCCAGGGGTTGTTGTGGTTGCAACTCATTTGAATGAGAGCAACAACAGCTGGCCTCATGAATATGGAAGAAATGCTAAGCATATGAGCGTGGTGGGCGTGAGAGATCTATCCGTAAACAAACAGGGAATATAAATAGATATAATCATATTCATAATTCATAATAGAGGGAATCCCTGAAATAAGAGCAGCTCTGACCCACTTTCCATCAGTGAAGATTCTCAGCAGCTTCTAGATCTTTCGGATAATCCTAAAATCGACCTTCAATGCAATCGAATAGCATGCAAAGCTCCTGCCAGAACACTTAATGTCGTACGATCCATAATTAAAAGTTATTACAGCACCAATTGACCAGACAATTACGCCACCAGTCCCAGCTGCACTAAACAGACTGCTAAACAGTTCAAACAACTCGGAATTCGAGACATGGAAACGACACCTGGCCCAGATAAGTGCCAGCAGGCCAGCGGGTAAGGGCCAGCTTTAGCTTCAGTATTTGCTATAGAATGATAGATAGACCACTTTCGATCATAAATTAAAATTAGAATTTTAAATGCAAGGCTAATTAAAAATAATGAAAATACTTGGGCGAAAACCTGTGAGATTTCATGCCCCGAGCTGTTGCTGTTGCCGTGGCCGTCACTGCTGTTAGACAATTGCAAGAAAATTGTGCATATAATTTCCCATTAGCAGAGTCGCCGGCTAGCCAACTAGCCAGCCAGCCATCGGGTCTGCCCGATGACGTTGTCATCGCTGCCAGGTGGCTTGTCTTGGCCCGTCCACTAGGGCGTATGAGCGATAATGATTGCACACTGGCCCGCGCGTGCAACAGCGGCACGGCACGCGATTCATTCGATTTAGAGTTAATTTGGTATGGATTTTGCGCATCATTATTCCCATTCATGGGTATGTGGAGCGTCTGCCAATGTCAATATTTCGGTTTTAGTTGGTCAAATACAACGGGAAACAGTCGGAGACAAAAAGAGAGCTGACGCAATGTCAATAGAGTCCACTGTGAGATGCTTTTGTTGTTTGTCGCCGTAGGTACATCCATATGATGATTGGCTGGCTTGGTGGAGGAGAGCCTAGAGCCAAAAGTTTTAAGTAGATTTACACGCTTCACTGGTCCACTTGTTGACTCTGGCTAATTAAAAGTCGTGCACACGCGCCTCCGCTTCGTGCCGGAAGTTTTCCCAGAGTTTGGGGGTAGAAAGACAAAGGTCGGTCCGTCACTTGGACCGGGAATCACATTCCATCTGTGTATTTTATGTTGCGTTATTAACTAATAATTAGGCGTTAATTTTTCCAAAGAAATATATACAATGCGGATTTGCTGAACCTTGAATGCAAACAGTTCCTTTCGCCAAGAAACTTTGAGATTTATCCAAGTAGTAAATGTCACGTTGTACAAAAGAATACAGGACTTCTTTATGTCCTAATCGTATCATAAATAGATTGATTTCTTCCTTATAGTCAGGAAATAATCATAAATTTTTTATAATTAATTGATTGATTGTCAATTATTATAAGATAATTCAGAAATTAGCTCTGAGTTTAACGGAAATCCATTTGAATTTTCAGTAGCAGCATTGCCAAGCGCCACTGTGACATTTTATATGTATCTTACATCACATCTACATGTGTAATTTACTTTACACGTGCTTCCACTGAAAGCGCTTTTTATCGCACAGCTTTGGGCATGAGCTCTCCAGCGTAGACAAACGCTGACTGCTATGAAACTCTCAGGGGAGTACCCTTTTTACACACATTTTCGCAAAGGAAAAACTTTTGTGATCTAGAATAAAAATTGTACATTTATTTACATTTAGAAACGCACTCCACTGCTGTTCAGTCTTTTGGCAAATTGCTGTCGCTCTTCCCCCGGCTGTAGGGCCGGGCGCCGCCGAGCATGCGCTCCAGCAGACTCTGCTTGGACTTGCGCTTGGAGGCGAGCACCTCTTTGCACAGCTCGTTGAAGACCTCGGCCACCTGATCGACATGATCGGCGGCAGAGACCTCGCTGAACTTGCACTCAAAGTCTTTGGCCAGGATCTCGCCCTCGTCGCGACTCACTTGCCGCAGATGCACCATGTCCACCTTATTGGCGCACAGCTGGACGGGTGTGTCGGATTGGAGATCAGACTTGGCACGGCGTATATAATTGAAGCTCTTGCGATCGGTGATGGAGTAGACAAGGAGCAAGCCATCTGCCCATTGCACCAGCTCCGCGGCATTGGGAAATTCATCATCGGCCTGGGGAAAGTGGGGTAAAAAAACAGGTGAGTGTTTTGAATCCGTTATTTAGTAGATAAAACTCACCTTGGGACATGTGTCGAGTATCTCGAAGAGCACCGGCTCACCGTCCACCATGGCCTCGTGCTTGTACCGATTCTCAGTCTGATGATCGTACTCGCCAATGTATCGCTTCGTTAGGAAGCGGACGATTAAAGCTGCAATCAAATATAATAACCAAAACCATTTACGTAACATGAATTTAATTTAGAGTTCTTTATCATTCAGACAGATCAGGTGTAAACCAGGGGAACGCCCTCGTGTCTCGTATGCTCGCTCCCGAGCCACCCTTGCGCCTTGGATTTGGGTCAGCACTTAAGCGAGCGTAAAGTAGAAGTACCAAATGTACTGGACTGCAGGGTTTGGGGAGAACTGCAGGTGGAAAATGCGCCTTGTGGGGTTAATAAACCCGCCTTGGCTACACCACTACAACGGCGACAAAACAACAAAGCGCTGAGCCCTAATGTTGCGTGTCTCGTGGACGTGAAGTAGGCTTGCTTTAGACGGGAGGGTGTTTGCCCCGTGCCTGGGTCCTGCCTGGTCTCTGGTCATTTCCTATGCAAGTGCTTTGAACTCGGAACTAAAAAACCGTCGAGCCGCTGGGAACCGAAACCTCAGGCGCCACTTTCAGAAAGGCGGACGATGACGGTGTATTGTAGTGTAGGAGGATGTGTGTGAGTGTGTGTGTTTTGGCTGGGTTGCCTTGGTTGCTTCGCGACTTGTATTTAACGACATTTTCATCATTTATTTTCCCAACACCGCATACACATTCGGCCAACGACTGTTTTAATTTATGTTTTCCGATTTTTCTTTTTTATTTTCCACGAGGTCAACGTTTAAATTTTTCGACACACGACGCCGAAATGGCAATGGTTGGGTGGCTGGCTCTGTCTTTGGCCCGTCTTCTGCGAGTGTCAGTGCCTGCCTGCTGGGCACTGATCGTGTTTATGCGTGCACGGGGAATTTTAGGGGCAATGGGCGTGTATGTGGGCGTTTTAATTGCCACCCCCCGACAAAGACATACATATGTACATACTTCCATATACATTAAATATTTGTGAGATTCTGGCAGAATGACATTAAAATATGTGGCTATAAATTTATTAAGCATATATGCATTTGTCGTTATATATTGCTGGGAACGTTTGGATTAATTTGATTTTTTCTCAAGGCAATAAAGAATGCCAAGCGGGAATTTAAAGGTGCCCAAGAGGAGTTGATGTTAGAGATTTCCGCATGTATTTATGTGTGAGGAACTCTCAGCTGGAAGAGTGACTCAATCAAGTCGTCTTACGCCGCCACGTTGGATGTGTGCATAGCTGGTCATTTTATGACTCTAAAAGAGCAGCCTCTAAATCATTTTTCAGTCAAACTTTTCATTTCGAAATGGGAGTCCACCACTTCAGAGTGTCAGCCTCATCCATAACCCAGCCAGACGCGTAGCTCATTCATCTGTCATCTGTGTATGCCCCGCCCTGGCATCAACTTGCTGCATGCCACGCTGTCTCGTTGTCTGTCTTTTCCTTTTGCGTTTCCACATTATATTTATTAGTGAAGCATATTTTCTAGTCATAATTCATGCGGCTCCACTGTCCACGATCTGCTGCTGCTGCTGCCAGTCTCTGTGTTTTTTTTTTGCACTCGGAATTATTGGTCGCTCTCTGTCGAGAGAGAGCAGGCGGAACATATAGCACGCAGGTGTAACCCGAAGTTGACAGCCGGATTGCATGGCGGAGGAATAAATTTACCCCCGGGATCATGGGTGCCTAACAAAATGTTACAAATTAAAATTATTTCGGTGCTTTTCGGAGGGGCCGGGCGGTGTAGGCAGGAGGCGAATGGCCATACGTGACGGCTGACAGGGGAACATCAATTTAACGCTAAGTCGCCCGCATCGAAGAAATATGCAACGTCTCGTTGCCAATGATCCATGCCCCGAGCATCATACCGATCTGTTCGATGTGCTCATTGGGGCTCATCATAAATTAGGGCCTGGCCTGGTCAGAGGCAGTGGCAGTGGCAAAGGCAAAGGCAAAGGCGCAGCGCTTGTCAAATCAAACGGTGGAAAAGCGATTAAAGCGGCAGGCAATGCCAAAGTGCCAGGCCAAATAAATTTCTAGTGGCATCCACAATCACATACACAGACACACACAGATATGGAGAGAGAGAGAACACAGATATGTCTGTGAGTGTCTGCATGTGGCATGTGTATGTGTGCTGCCACTTTATAAACAAAACAAACAACAGTCTAAATATACACGATTCGGCGATTGCTCAACTAATTTGCTGTTGTTGCTCGGCATCCATGCCATGCCGCAAGTATCTATCGGATATGTCTGCTCTTGTTGTCTGCTCTTCTTATTGCCGAAGTACTTGCTACTGAATCTTACCGCTCTTTCCAACACTGGGTGCCCCAATCACGGCTATCTTCAACTCCGTCAGCGTCGACTTCTTACGGCGAATGCCCCGCGTCGTCATCTTTGGCTGCCTTTCTGAATTCCTCCTTGTTCCTCAGTGTAGATGATATTGTTTTGGCACTCTCTCAGGTGTATCTCGTATCCGTTCTGGCTATGGTTCTGTGTATCTTCTCCGTTTTAATTGTCCTATTTTAATGGTTATTTCATTTCAATGTCAAAACAAGCGCATGAAATGCGTTTAAAATTACTGCACAGCACAGCACAGAAACACCTTTGCTCGCATCCGTCAGATACTTTCACCCTGACACGGTATTGGAAAATTAATGAGTCTTTGCTTCAGGTTTTATTTTCAAAATAATTTTGTGAATTTTTGTCTTATGTTTTTGGGCATTTTCATTATGGATACAGGAATCTGTTTGCGAATCTGAATGTGAATGTGAATCGGAATCGGAATCTGAAACGCGCACTGCACTCTTTGCCATGTGTTGTGGTACGTTGCCACCGAAAATTCATTTATTTATTTATTTTAACCATCAATTTTTGCGTATTTTTTTGTTGTTGTTTTCGGCCCCCAGCAATCGTACGGTCCGCCAATGATCCGCATCTGATCTGATGGAGTGTGTCTTTACTTTTCGCTGTCTGCCTTTCTTTTAATGGGGGATTCTCACAGTCCTCTGATTTTCCACCGATCCACCGATCCACATGCGATTTGGGCGGCCAATGAATTTCTACTGAAAGGCCGAATCTGTGCTACGCCGGAGTGCCGATCCGTGCGCTACGCTGCCGCTGCTGCCTCTCTGCGCTACGGTGTCTTCTGCTTTTCGCGATTGAGAGCGAGCGGCTAACCAAAAATAGCACCAACGGAGAGACCACTGCCTCAGGAGGCGCAGCAACAGCAGTCCCAAGAGCAACGAATCATCCATTCCCATGCCACGTGCCCAGCAATGGGTTAAAGTTAAAGTTCCATTGGGGCATTAGGCTAATCGGTGGCATCTGAAATAGACATTTAGAGAGCATCATCAATATCGGCATGTGTAGAGCGCCAAATGCATCGGTGTACATAAGTATGTACATATGTCTGTCGCCGTAAATTAAACTTAATTAAAGCAGCTGTGGGACAGGCAACTGTTTCTGTATATATGTCCTCCTCCTCCTCCCTTAGTTTAGAACTCTCGAAACCCCTTCTAATAAGCAGCTGTTTTGGCCAGCACCTGCTGGTGGATTAGAACCATTAAGAATTGTCCCCGTGGACAGCCAAGTCCAACTGCATAACAATTAAAATCTTTCCCATGAAACTAATATTTATATTTATTTAACTTTCCCTCCCTTTTTGGCTCCCTCGAGTAAACATTAAATTACAGACCTTTTAGTTATGCATATTAGGTTAATATTTTTGAGTTCATTAGGGGAAATTGTATACGAGTATTGCATCAATCATATGCAATATGCATACGACAATAGCCAGACGAAAAAGCCCCCCGCCCCCAGCACACAACAGTTGCACGTGTGTCTATCCCTATTGTGTCCCACTGGACACCCAGTACCGCGGGGGTGTTTAATGTGTACTGTGCCTGTGCAAATGTGTCCTGCTCTGTGCCCTGGTCTATGTCTGTGCCTAAGGGTTGAAAATTTCCAGACGGAAACAAGTAAAAACCATCAGAGCTACGACACTTCGACAAATAGATACCCTGGCTATTCTTTTTCAAGGAGTGATCTTATAATAAATGGAACTGCTGTTGGATTTATGCACATATCTTTCCATTATGGGTTCATTTCCATATGAACTTATTTTCCACATAAAATCGAGTAAACATGCAAATACCAGAGTAATCATTTTTAAATTTATATTTTTGATTATTATTAATAATAAATAAATGAAATAGAGAACGCTTCCCTCTGACTGTTACAAACTTTTACGCGCATCCAGTATACCCTTGCATTCCACGAATACCTTGTAAATAAAGCAGACACACACGGAAAACGCCTGAAAGGCCGCTTTCCGGAAAATCTTGGCAAATACTACCACATAGAGAGAGAGAGAGAGAGTGGCTGCTCAAAAAACCATAGCATAAGTAATACGCGACCATTTTGTGCCGGCAGCTAAAAGTATTCGATGAAATATATAAGGCAGTCAAAACAAACAGCTGGCAGGCAGCTTGCTTGCAGCCGTTGCGTGTTCGTTCATGTCTTGCCTTCGTTGTTCGTTATTCGTTTTTCGACCGGCGACGTGTTTGGACGTGTTCGTGCGCCACTGCGAAACTTAAATCGTGATTCGGAGTTTGAGTCGAAGTCGTCGCAAGTCGCAATCACCCACGCCGTAGTAGCGTCTCTTTTGGCTTCTTGCTGCCGCCAAAAAAAAAATAAAATAAAAAACCAGAATCGTTTTTATTTGAAGCAGCCGCGCGACGCGCGCTTTTCGGTGTGTTTTCCCTCTGCCACTTTATGTATATATTTTTGTACGATATATTGTGTGTGTGTCTTTACCCTATAGTTTTTCAATTCGAAAACTTATTTTCGTAGTCTTTACATTTAGAAATTTGCCCACTGCTGCTGCTGCTGCTGTTGTTGTTGTTAGTGCTATTTGCCCCTCAGTCCGTGTTGAATTTAAAATATTTTCCTTTAATTTGAAAATAAGAGAATTATAAATAAAATCCAACGACAGGAACAAGTGCGCGCGTGTGTGTGTGTGTATGTGTATGTGGTTGAGTGGTGCGCTGTGTTTAATGGAGAACGAACGTACTCGAATACTCGTATAAATGGCAAATAAAGAACCCTATAAGCCAAACGAAGAACGAAGAAAAGATTTTATTGGTGATTAGCTGAATAATTAGCCTAAGAAATTGGCTACAATGCCGGAAAAGTGTATCAAAAGCGAATGTTTATGGGAAATTATGAGAAAAATTATATTTTTGAACAATATATTTAGCATATTTTGGAACTGCTGTGAATAGCAATGTGTTTTCATGTGTATTTATTTTTTAATATTTATGGAATAGTTAGCATTTATTATTGTGATCTATGAGACTGATATTGACGATGGTTGCTCTTATTTTCTCTTCTCCTTTCTGGATCTACTTAGTATATTCCTCTATTTCCCTTTCTGGGTTTGATCTTCATCTGTGGTCCCTATACTATCCTTCTTTAGACGCTTCCTAGGGCTAACTTCTCATCAATCATTTTACAAACACTCAATCGAAGCTGCTCACACATACGAAATCTCTTCAATTATTTGTATATTAGCTTAACCATGAGCTTAGATCATACATCTCTGTATCCCCTATTATCCTTTAACCATTCTTCTTAGGTCAAACTTTAAGGCTTACTCATCATCAATCATATAATATACATACATACATATATACAGAGTACACAATCAAACCCACTCACAAAAATTGTGATGTCATCTGGCTTGTTGGCTTCTGCGGTCATCAGTGGCAGCCAAAGAAACGAAATTAAAAGCGAATATGATGTGACTTGCTGAGCAAGAAAAAGGTCTCTCGCTCTATAGGCGACATCATCCACTGCCTTACTTCCAAATTCGCATCGGGATCCGACTCCGACTGAGACTCGTTTTGCCTTCGGAGGAACGAAGCGAGGGCTCTGTTTCACATGTTGCATTTGCTTTGAAGGATATCCGTCAGCAGGCGCTCAGAAAATGAAATCATCAACAAAAAATAAAACAAGCCGAACAGAAAATCAATGAAATTCTAGGGACATTCTTCGTACTTGTAGTTTTTGGGTTGTCGCACTAAAAGAACTAAAAAAAAAAATGCATTTCTCGTGGCGACTCTGTGACGCTCAGACTCCCTGGCGACTTGGCCATGGCATATATACTCGTATATTATGGTGAAGAGAAAATTGCTTAATGCACTATACCCTCCTCCGGTGCCGCCTGCATTGTTGTCCTTTCGTTCTCCCCACCCTTTGTTCGCTGTCCGCTCGGGTAATTTAATCAGCCAAACGCTCAATTGACGCCAGGATAGCGGGGCACAATGCCAGTGCTCGTCGTAGCCTTGGTAACTAAATAACTCACAACCGCGAGGCCGAACCCCTAAGTACTGCGACCTGCGTGTGACCAGCCAGCCGCCCCCTAATCGCACCAGTGGAAAGACAGGGGGGTGGCAATTACAATTTGTTGTAATTTTTATTGACAGTTTTATTTTCTGCCCATGACGTCGCTGTCGTTGGCTTCGTGCGGCATATACTATGTTGCAACTGTTGCATGGGCTTCTGTAATTCGCGAACAGCGCACATTGTTGCCAATGCACTTCCATTTGCATTCTTTTTTGCCATTTATGACCGATTCGGAGCGAGAGACGAGCCCCTTATGTGCTCTCCTTTTATGGGAATGACCCAATAGTTGCTAAATAGGTTTATGGGCTGCGAGACAATAAAGAGAAAAGCAATTGTATAATAAAAGGTTGCTTGACAAGCCAGATGGATTTTGTCTGCTTTAGTTGCAGGATATCAACTGGTTTACAAAGGGAAATAATATTCCCAAATTGAAGTATCGTATTGCAAGAAACCCTGAGAATTGAAACAATACTGAAATATGACCTAGAACGAAGTTAGATAAAGAACTACTCAGAGCCATTACCCCCCGTGACCCATAAAATTCCTAGATGCCATATTTCATGATCAATTCATCAATAAATTAAGCAATTTATCAGCACCCCAAAGGAAGCGGAGAAGCAGCCATAAAGTAACCGAAAATATGAAGAAATTATGCAGAGCTGTCCCGTGTAAGATTTTTCTAAGGCATGCCGATGGGGTGAATGCCGCTACATAGAACATGAACAACTGTTAGCAGGCACCCCTTTACGGGACGGTAGCTGTGCTGTGCAATAAAATGGGAAATCGGAATTAAAACACGCCAGGCGTTGCCATCAATCAAGCCCAAAGTGAAATCCACGCAAAAGAGGGCCAAGACGCACTAATAGAAGGGGGCAGAAAACCAACCCCAAAAGGTAGAGTGTGTCATGAACCACCCTTACAATAGGGCTACATAGATAACCACCCTAAGTTAAACCCAAGAAAAAGCAAAGGAAACTTCAAGATATCTAGGTGGAAGATTGTTTTAGGAATTGTTTTTCTGCCTTACTTTTTGTGTGGTTTGCATTGTATCGTATAGTTTTTTGATATACACAAAAAAACACCCGCAACGTCTGCTGCTTGAACTTGAATTTCGCAGAAAGCGAAGCAGTCGCTGATGTAGGGGTACGATCTGTGCAGACAGAAACGAAACCCGACAAACAACTTTAGAGCTTACTTTACCCGTAAAACCGGCAGACAAGACACATTCTAATGGCAAACAATGGAGCCCCACAAACACACTCAAACAAATCGATAGACGTCAGGGCGGAGAAGCAGTGAGCGGAAAAAAGGTCCAACAAATATACGTACATATATATATATGTGTAGTGTATATAGGTGGATGTGTATTTGTATAATTTGAAACACAAAACCCGAAACAAGCTTTAGATATGAGGCATTCGAGTGTGTCCGCCGCCTATATGACATCATTCGGCGTCATCAACAGATAACCTCATCATGATCTCTCACTGTCGGTGCGGTCCGGTCTGTTGTCTGCATGCCCACAAGGAGATCGCATTCGCATCGAAATTATGTTAGCTAATTTCAATTTCTGTGCTGATTTTTCCAGAATTTCAAATTACATACATACATACACATCGTACATATGTGTGCATGTATGTGAATTGTCGAAATTTTTAGCTT